CCCTTCAGTAAATTCTGCCTGTGCATGCATGCTAGATTGTAAGTACAGAAGTTTTAGCCTCTGAGTTTCCAGAAAGTTACGACTCAAAGAAAAAAAAATCCAGCCTATGAGTTTCCTGAAGGTTACGGCTGTCTTTCTCCCATCATCATAACAAGATGTTTAAAGAGCAATTGATTTTGATATTCATTCAAGCATGCAATTATTTTACAGTCTATTTCATACAAAATGCTTCACTGCCAATTTTGTACATGCAGATATGATTGCAGATGATGACTCTGATCAGGCACTTGTGACAATAGACTCTTTGATTTCAAGGACATAAAATGTTGCATTTTCATCTTTTCATGCTGTGTTTAGGGGTAGGTGAAGAAGGATTTTAATGATAATTTTTAGGGAAAGCACAGAGCGCATGCAGAATTAAGGATTTGGGGAATAGGATTCAAGATCATGTTGCCAATTGGTGACTTGATGTCTTAAGTCCTGGAAAAGAGCTTAGTGGTAGAAAAATTAAGAATAAGGCATAGGAAAGTATATTTCTGCTTTTGAAAACTTCAAGACTTAAACAGTTTCAGTTTGAACTGAAGAATTGGAGATGGGTGGTTGGGAGTTTATAGCAGTAATAATCAGAATTTGTGCATAATTTAGTCAAGAAATTTAGTGCTTATAGGTTCACTGCATTTATATTAAGGCTGTTATGTCTTCAGTTTTACTTTTTTAAAAATCATATTCGCTTTTACAATGAACAACATTCTTATAAACTTTTGTTTTTATGAATTTTTAAGAAATATCAGGTGCTATTCCAATGGAAATAGATCTATATATAGAGTGGCATCTGTTAAAGAAAACGATTCAAGATCTGTCTGTCTAAGGTGTCTCAGAAGTGGAGTGGGGAATATTTCTAATAGCCTGTAAAAGCTGTAGATTCTTTGATATTGGCTTGCACTGAGTTGAAATTGTTTTTCCAGCAGATATAAATATAGGGGCGTGGAACAACCAAGACGGTATGGTACCACTGACAGGTTTTAGCCTCTGTGATGATGTGTCTCTTTATTCTTTAGAGGATCCGTTGATCTCTGTGAAAAAGGTGTGAAGAATTTGTGTTTTCTTCTGTGATTTCATTTTCAAGGGGACAGACACCAGCAGAGTCTGACTTCCAGCTTTTGGAGATCGCCCGTCGGCTGGAGATGTATGGAATACGCCTGCATCCAGCCAAGGACAGGGAAGGGACAAAAATCAACCTGGCTGTTGCCAACACAGGCATTCTGGTGTTTCAGGTTAGAGCTGCTCTGATTATGGCTGTGTGCTTTATTATATATATCTCTTATATCTCTCACAACAGTAAGAATTGCGACACCCCAGCCATGTCTCCAAGAATTTGGCTGGAAAAGTCCAGGAAATTCTATCATTTTTTTTCCAACAAGCCAACAGTAGCCTTACTACTTTTATAGTTGCATTATGCCCTTCACTTCCAGGGGTGTTTGCCTTACTCGCACTCACAGGCTGGACGTTGTTACCGTTATAAAACACCTATTTATTTTAACCGCTTAGTTAAAATATAATGATGAGTGTTTCCAGCTTAAATACTGCTTCAAAGATGCAACCAAATGTCTCTATAGTAAATCTACAAAATTGAAGCATGAGGACTTGAAGCATGAGAACATCAGGACGTTGTTAGAAGTACACACATCTCAAATGATTGTATGTGTAGGCCCTTCCCCAACTCCCTTTGCAGTATTTTACGACAGCCGAATTTACGAGTTTCAAAACCTTGTAAATTAGGACGTTGCCTTACAGCTGAAAGCAGATACCCACCCAAAACGGCAAGGGCCTCACTGGGTCCCAGCAGACAGCTGGGATGCCTCTGAAGAGATGTAGCTGCCAGCTGAGGCCCAAGGCCTGATTTGTAAAGCTCTACAGCTCAGTCACCTCCTCTTGTTCACAGTCCTAATTTATTTCAGGCAGCTTTCTGGAGGACTTGCAAAAAAGCTTGGAAATTTTGCTGGATCAAGCTCCAAGACTGAACACTGTGATGGGATCTCTCAGGTTTTGGCCTTCTGTTTTGACTCTAGCAATTGGAGCTCAGTAGCAGTCTTAGGGGTTTGTTTCCATAGGACGTGTATGTCCACCTTTTTTATTGTGGATATAACTGAGAGAAACTACTATAGAAAGTCTTGTAAGAGCAGCGTCAAGGAAAATGAAAGTTTTCTCACAGATGGCATTAGCATTGCCCACACAGACTTTTTTAAACCCAGCCATTTATTTAGGAATTGGCAGTAGTGCCGCTGAATTCTCCAGGGGAGGGTAATTATGAAATTCATAGACAGCAGGGACTGACTTACCAGGGATAATCACACTGTTGGTACTCCTACGTCCTTCTGGTGATGAAGCCCAAATCAATATGCACTTGTGCATGCAGCCATGCTGTAGTAGCTCTTCTTTGAAATGTCTGTGACGTGCTGCGGGCATGTTTGTGTTGAACTCTATTGAATAAGCTCAAGGGTCAGTGGGTTAAATGATGCCATGCCTGGAAGTCAGATAGCATTTTGGAGAGAATTTCTCAGGCGTGTTGTTTACTTCAGAAGTTTTTGACTCTTCAGGCAAACCTCAAGTAATTTATTTCTTTTTTTTTTTTTTTTTTCAATTCTGTTGCTCGCTATGAAAGATGAGGTTTTACAGTTGCTGGGGTTTTTTTTCATTTAGCTCATATTTAAAGGGATGTTCATTAGGTAGATAGGTAGATAGGAAAGAAATCTGTCCCATCACCGTGAGGTGACCATGTTGGTTGTCTGGATTCCCTGCGTTCTCTGTGCCTGGTAGAGAGAGGAGGCACCTCTGGGAGGTGATGTAGTCCACCAAAAATCTGAGTGTCCCTTTGGAGATGCTGCTCTGTCGTCGGCTCTATAGGAAGCCTGGGAGCTTAGTGCTCCCAGCTGCATGTCATGCTCTCTTGGAAGCTTCTGCACCATGCAAGGAAAGGAGAATTTTTTGCCTGCATATTGGAACAAGGTAGGGTTGTCTGGCAAAGGCTGGGCCTCCCTCTTCTGTGCAGTGATGCTGGATTGGATACCTTTGTGTCAAATCGCTGTACTTATAACACTAAATATCTGCCTTCAGTCATACCTCCAGATCCTTAAGGTTAAAATGTGTTTGCCATGTCAGAGTAAGAATGATAAGAAATATCATAATGGCAAGTGAAGTGAACAGATAATTAATGCATTACAAGCTTTCCTTAGTGGTTTAGATTTCTCCATTCATATCTGGAGTGCTTAAAGTCTTCTGGCTTTGTCCTCTGTAGGGTCACACCAAGATCAATGCTTTCAACTGGGCTAAAGTTCGAAAGCTGAGCTTCAAGAGGAAACGCTTTCTTATCAAGCTACGGCCTGATGTGAATGTAAGTCCTTGGTAGGAATTGGTTAATACGGAGGAGAGGTTGTTTGGTAAATGTTTACTCACAGATAAAATATGTATTTTTATAATCTCAAGAAGATTTTTTTAATTAATTGCTTAGGTTCTCAGTTGGCTTGTTAATTCACGTATCAAACTGGCGACTCAGATGAGCAATCCTAGCAATGGAGATGTAAGCTGAATGTCACAAAGTCTTCTTGCGACTGCTTTCCTGGTTCTTAAGCTGTTGTTTGCAAACTACCTCAAAATATTAAGCCCCCCTTAACATATTAATGTCTCTGGTTTATGTCTGTCGTACTTGACAATGAAAGGAAGTTGAAGCTATAGCTCAGATATTGCCTGGCAGATCAGTGATGTCTCAAAGAGAGAAGGAACGAGCCTGGTAAGCGTGGAAGCCAATGGATCAGGAGAACATATTTTTTGTAGCATGGCTCTGATTTTATCAGTAAATCTTTGTAATGTGTGTTGCTTGCTTGTTAACATTGCAAATACTTTCTCATGTTCCAGAGTTCCTTCCAGGATACCCTGGAGTTCCTTATGGCCAGTCGAGATTTCTGCAAGTCTTTCTGGAAGATCTGTGTGGAACATCATGCCTTCTTCAGGCTTTTTGAGGAGCCGAAACCAAAGCCTAAACCTGTTCTTTTTTCTAGAGGTTCATCATTTAGGTTCAGGTGAGATCTGCTTTCTTCGGTTCACTTTTCAAAGTTGCAGTTTGCCCCTTTATATTTTCTGTTGATTTTCTCATCCCAAATAATACAGAAAAGACTATGGAGAAAAAAAAAAAAGAATTTTGTAATGGCCATTGCAAAGCAACTTTCTGGAGGTGGGGTATGAGGTATATTGGTTCCAGCTGTTTTCAGATAGCAAAATCCACCCGTGGGCTAAAACAATGCTAACTTGCAACTCTGACGCTCTCCAGCTCCCCTGTGTTTAGGGAGAAGTCTTTTCTCTCACTGCATTTTCATTCTGTGGCCCTGTGGTAAACCCAGCCCTATGCAATTAAGAGCAGTGTCTTCTCTTTATGTTGAGACTTTTATGCCTGTAAAAGATTTATGTGAGATGGCCACCTATGTTTGGACAAAATCTGCTTGGGAAATTGTGTATGTCAGGAAGGGAAAAGAAAATCCTTTTATGCTCTTTTTTTTTTGGCGGGGGGGGAGATGAACAGCAGACATGCTCTTTGCTGAAATAAAGCATCTCTACACTAAGTGCAATTCTTGATATACAAACATAATTTAGTTTAGCATAGGCCTTAATAAACACGTATGACGTATGATAACATCTAGTGTTCAAGTGGTTTTACAGGGTGTATTGGTTCAGATTTTCCAAAGCCTGAATCTTCTTGGATTATATGCAAACTCAAAAACTCTAGTAGTTTGATGCAAGTATTTAGTAGATATGGCCATCCCAAATGTCTGCCAGCTTTCTCTTTCCTTCTTGCAAAGTTAATATGCAAGGACCTATGTTTTGGCTAAACTGTAGTGTAATTAAGTCACTGATAGAGACATAGTAATAGAAAAATATAGGGGCATTCAACTTACCTTCTGATTTGGAGAACAGATTTTGACCACATCACGCATTTGCTGTGATCTGTGCTGAGTAGTTTGGAAACCTTTTCCAAGCCTCACGGTAATTCTTAGGCAGAAGCCTATAATGAATGGAAAGGAATTGGTTCTCTGTTCAACATTCTTGGTTTGCTTTACTGCTTTCAATTCCTTTTTGGAGTTTATCTTTACACAGTAGAAAGTGATGGGCTTTCTGACAACTTTTAGGCCTATAGGAGAAAGGGAGGGAGCGATTTCCAGCCTAAATCTCTGCAGAAAAATGTATGTACCTTTAGTTGGTGTCTTTAATATTAGCAACTGAGCCATGAAACGCATTTCAGCTGCTTTCCCCTTAGTTGCCGGTTTTAGTGAAACTGGGTAAGTCTGATACTTGATTCTAAAAAGGATTCAGGAATGGTTTTTGTTCATGGGAGGAAAATTTAACCCTAGTTTCTCTTATGGTGTAACCCCCTATAAAGGGTACATGGTGGAATTCAGATGGTTCTGAAATGGCATCAAAAGGTATCTCCATGGCAAAAAAAATCTTTCTGTCCATGCAGAAAGATTTTTTGAAAAATGGGTTTCTGTCATGGTCAACTTCCTTTAGAGGTTGCATGAATTGCAGCTGAGAGTGAGAAATACTTTTCTGGTTGCTGTGACTCCATAGGACATAGCCTATAAACGATGGATTGTTAGTCTGCCCAGCAGGGACTCTCAAAAAGTTGCAGACCACATACATGTCTACGATGACTAGGCGATATACTATATTAAATGTGACAGACTCATTTTTTTTCAGACTGATAGCTTAGCTGTGTTTTTCTTCTAGTGGCCGGACTCAGAAGCAAGTCCTTGACTATGTTAAAGAAGGAGGGCACAAAAAAGTACAGTTTGAAAGGTGAGAGAAAGCTAAATGAGCTAATCTGATATGTTTTTCTTAAAGAAGAGTGGTCTTTTCCAGTCAGTTATATTCTAAGAGCTTGGCACAAGTCTCAGCAAGAATACCATTTTTGCTGGTTTGGCAGTTCATCACTAATATAATATCCCCTTTGTCCTAAATATTTTGACAGAAGTTGGCAGGACCTATATTTTACCTAAAATCAATAGTCTTCAATGTGTTTTTCTGCAGTGAGCACCCTACCATTGCAGGTAACTTACTCCCATATTGACTTGCACCCTCTTCAGTTGGATGAAATTAATCTATGTGGACAGAAATGAATGTAAATCCTTTTTAAGTAAACATGTTCACCTGAGAATAAAAGGGAAATAACAGAAAAAGGCATAGTCAACCTCAAGAGGGAGATCTGCAGGGAAGGCTTCCAATTTAACTTGCTAGAGGCAGTTTTGTCCAAACTCATCTTGCTCATGGTCAACTGAAAGTTATGGCAAAGCGTACAAAAGACCCTGACAACAGTTAATGCTTATGACTCATGTTCTGCTTCAGTGCTCTTCCCTTTTCTTGCAATAGCATCTCTGCAATGTGCACTACATTCAGATTTTACCAAAAAAAAAAAAA